ATTTTGAGAGCTTCGTTTTCGGAACCGTAAAAGAGGAATTTAATATCCCTTTCAACCCTTGCATCAATCTTATCGCTAAAATTGATCCACATGTTTTATTTTGCGTAAAGACAATACCATTAGGGCAATAATTAAAATTATAAAATTATATTTATTAAAAATATAAAAATTTATTTTTTATAATTATTTAATTGTAATGAAGATAACGTATTATTTATTATCATGTATTATTCACATATTAATATTATAAATATCACGTGTTATTCATATGTTATTAAAAATAATATAATAAAAAATTTTATTATATAATATTATATTATTGTGAACTAAAGACAAAAAATCTTATATTTTTAAAGTTAACAAAATCTAAAAATCACAAATTTCATCTCAATATCATTTTTTAAAATCAAATTTTCTCTTAAAATTCAAGAATTTGTGAATCAAACTTCCTCTTAGAATTTTTTGTCAAAAAATATAAAACCTTTTACATTTTCTTTTCTATCCAACCTTTTGGGGTTTTGCCATTGGTTGGCTAATGTTAGGTTAAATTTCAACAAAATATATTTAGATTTAAGAAATTTTACTAGCATTTTTTTTTTACCTTCTTTGTTTATGTTTACACACACTTTGAAACTAATAAAATAATTATTTTATCAAAACTTGTTTAACCAATCACCTGAGTAGTTTGAGTTGGAGACAGAAATTATTAGTTTAACTAGTTTGCTATTCGTGTAATGAACGGATTGTTTTCATTTTATTTAAATTTAAATAAAAATAAAAATTAATATTATTGAATTATTTACATATTCAAAACATATGTAACATATAAATATTATAATTAAAATATCAAAGCATAATAAAAACAAGGTTTTCTTTTTAAATTTTGTTGAATATTATAATAAATTATTTGTTCCATAATTATAGAGTTATCATAAGATTCTTTTATGGTTCTAATGTTTTTTTAAGCTAAGATATAAATGAACTTAAAATTAATATTATTGATGAGACTATCCCTAAATTATTTATTTTAAATTTTATTTTTTATGAAAAATAATCTTTTGATTTAAAATTATGTTATATATTTCGTAATGGGGATATGAGTTGACAAATTATTCATTATCTAATGTATAATTGGCACATAAATTTTTGTTTAAGGTACATAACTCTATCATATAAATGAATCATAGCATTATTTTTATTTTATACAAATGGAAAATATTAAATAAATAATTAGTTAAAAGATAAAATATATTACCTAATCGAGTGAAGAATCCGCGAAAAAACAAAAAGTCTGCAAATAACATTGATAAAAATATAAGAATATATGTGTTTTGTAGTTTTTGAAAAACATATTATAGCTAAAAAAAATTTACAAAAACAATCATAACTGATGGAGTAAATAGTATGTTTAGTGAAATAGTACAATTACTTGAATAAGTGAATAATATGTTTGATAAAATAGTACCTATCATACAAAGCATGTTAGTTCCTATAATAATAATAGACTAATAAAAAAAATGACTAAATTAATAGTAAAAAAAATATATTTAGCTCAGTGAAACATTAAAAAGGCTATATAACTAAGAATTACTAACAATAAGAGCTTTCTTTAAGTTGTTATGGTATTTATATATATATTTTTTCACATTTTTCTTATGAAATATATTTAAAAGCTAAAAATAATGCAAAGATTATTTATAAAAAAATTAAATATATTAAATAATATTTTTAAAAATTGCAATAAATTTAAATACTCATATTAACTATAGATAAATTAGAAAAGATAAATTACTTTAAAATTGGTTTTAAATTGAGATGAGGTGATGTATAGAATAAACTTTCCTGAAATTATTTTGGCATTTATATATATATATTTCATATTCTTTTGTGAAACATATTTAAAAGTTAAAGATAATGTAATGATTATTTATAAAAAAAATTTAAAATATTAAATAATATTTTTAAAAATTATGATAAATTTAAATACTCATGTTAACTGTAGATAAATTAGAAAAGATAAATTACTTTAAAATTGATTTTAAATTAAGATGAGGTGATGCATAGGAAAAATTTTTCTAAATTATTTTGGTATTTATATATTTTTTTCATATTTGATTTGTAAAATATATTTAAAAGTTAAAGATAATATAATGATTATTTATAAAAAAATTAAATATATTAAATAATATTTTTGAAAGTTATGATTAATTTAAATACTCATGTTAACTTCAGATAAATTAAAAAAGATAAATTACTTCAAAATTAATTTTAAATTAAGATGAAGTGATGTACAGAAAAAAAATTTCATTAAAATTTAAATTAATTTTTGATTAAATTTTAAAATTTTAGATAATTTAATAAATTTTAAAATAAATTTTTTATAAATAATTTAAAATTAATAAATATCTTATATCTTATTATAATAAAAAATTAAAAAATTATTTTATATGTTAAAAAAATTATCTATATAAATTTTTACATTAATAATTATTATTCTATAATTATATATATATATATATATATATATGATAGGAACTTAATTCAATTACAATCCCACGTACATTAGATTTACTCTTTTCCGATTTATAGGAAGCTTGTAAAAATGGCGTTTTTCATCAAATAAAATAATTTTTAATTAGAAGTGGCAATAAATCGAATCATATCCAAAATCAGAGCTCACAACATCAACGAAAGATCTAAAAATCTTTACAAAAACTCAGTTTTTGTCCACACTTGTACGTATAAATCAAGGTATATTAGGTTTGATATGTGATGTGACGTGGGAATAATGTGATTGACTGTTAACAGCCTGGTAAATCATCATTCAAAGTAAATTAAACCCACTGAAAAAAAAAAACGTGTAGCGTCTAGCTAGAAATCAGTGGGTTTTTTTATTTTATTTTGTTTTTCAAGTGTTTGTGTTTCTAACTTTAACGATAAGATGGGCACTTTGATCATTTGATGTGACACCATTTTCCTCAATGGAGAAATGATGATTTCGATGGGGAGAAGATGAAGAAAATTGTAAAAGACGAAAATGGGTCGGTATGTGGGGGGACCAATAATAAGCGGCAGTTCCCTGTTTGATGGATTGATGGATTTGTAAGATTCCGTTAAAAATAGGAAAAAATTTTACATAAATTTTTAAAGTAAATTATGTAAAATTAAATAAAATAATTAAATAAAAAATTTAATATGAAAATCAATAATATATAAAATAATTAAAAATATTATTTATAATTTAATTTTAATTAATATTTATTTAATAGTAAAAATTTATTAATATTTATTAAAATATTTATTTAAAAATATATATCAAAATTTATTAAATTTTTTTAAAGTTTATATATTTGATCCATGTAATGATACCTTTTAATTTATTAATTTTGATTTTTTATTTTAATTTTAATTTAATTATTTTTAGTTAGAAATTTCACTAATTTTATCTAAGAAATTTTATCAAAATATTTCTCTAAAATATGAGGCTGAAAAATGAAAACTGTTGAACTGCGAGTGTAGTTAAATTAATTATTTTTTTGTATTTAATAAATTTAAAATTTTAATTTTAACGTTTATAATTTTTTTATTTTGAAATTACAATCTTTTATGTAAAATAAATAAAACCTATTGCTGTGAATAAAATATATTATTTTATAAAAAATAAAATTAAAAAAATTATAATATTAAAATATAAATTTTATATACTTTAAATGACACTTTTTAAAAATGGATAATTATTCAAATAAAGCATATTTGAATATATAATGAAATACTGAAATATCATTTTGATTTAGCTACTTGGATTGATGGATTTACAATTTGGTGCTAACCTTTTTATTTTTAATTCTTTCAAACCATAAGAAAAAAGAGGGTTCAAAGTATTAATAATTTAAGAACAATTGTTTAAAGAGAGGAAGACTTGAGATTAGCTTGAAAGACATCTTGTTGACAATTATAATGGTAAGTAATACTATATTTGAGAGAAATAAAGATAATTTATACGACAAAAAGGTTTTTGATTTGAATTTTATCGGTAGTTATTTATTAGGATCATTTTGAATGTACGATTTGTAATTATCTATTTTAGATTGTCAGATACGATACATTTTATTTTGATATGAAAAATTAAATAATTTATCTATCTTCAAATTTTTTTTATATAAAAAAAGGTAATCTATGAATATGTTGCTAGATTTATTTGAAATGCATATTCAATTTGTTTTTTTAGGCAATGAAAATATTCTTTTGATTGAAAATGAATTAATCTTAGTTTGCACACCTATTGTTAGGATTTAGTACCAGCTCTGTCTCTACTAAGCTACACTTGAGTAAATTTAGTAAGCCAAACAATATTATTAATTATATATTGACTCTAAAAAATTGATTTTCAGTTAAAAAAAATCTTAAACGTAAAGTAGAACAACACCAATCATTGTTAAATCTATAACACAGATTTAGTTTAATTAATTTATGTAAATATTTTTAATAAATAATATTTAAAAAATTTAATATTTAAATTTTAGTATTTATAATTTTTTTTAATCTTTAGATTGTGACTTTATATTTGAGTGATTTGATAATTTTAAATATGATACGATAATATGATGTAAAAATGATACGGATAAAAACACAAATGTAATATGATTTAAAATTTGGATAAAAATCATGAATAAATTTAATAAAATAAAAAAAATATTTTATATTTTATATTGATACAAATAATAACACATAATTTTGGTATAAAATATAATATAAATATATAAAATATTAATATTTTCATGATACAAATACTCAAATTACTAGACTCGAAGGATAATGGGTAACTATACCTTTTGCAAAAATAAAAATCCTCCAAACTTAACTGAAAAAGTGACTATATACTAGAATTTAGTTTTCCCCTCTTTCATAGAAGAAATTTAGTTAATTAAGAAAAAAAAAAGGTTATTTCAGAGCCCTTCTTGTGTAGGCTCAGTTCATAAGGAGATCCTAATGGCCCGATCTCAAGGCCTGGGTTCAACAAATTAATCTTCATCGCCTAAGCCCGACTCAAATGAAATGCAAAAAATCCCAAACCCAAAACCTCAGAAGAACAGAAACCTACAAAGTCCCATTAATCCCTGTTTTGAATATTCACCTCTTCTTCTTCTTCTTCTTTGTTGTTGTTGTTGGGTTTTAAGGTTGTTGCTGAGCTTGTTATTATCAGAAATGAGAATTGCTCGAGTTCTGTTTGGTTCACTCGAAGGTGGCTTACCACGCCCATGTCAGCATCTCCAAAGTGTCAGATTTCTCTCAACAGGTTCATTTTCAAGTACCTTTTTTTTTTCTTTTGTAAATTCCCTTAAAAATTCCCTTTAATGAAAATTTTAGTTTGTTTATCATCATACAGGAAATGGGTTTGATGGGCAGCGTCCAAATTCCAACTCATTCGAGCCAGATGATGAATTTGAACGGAGGATTTTTTGTGGGTATTGAGGGGATGGTCCGAAGGCTCAATCCTTTTATGAAAAGCTTGATAGACTTTAGTGCTTACATGACCGTTCTGGTTCTCCATCGGGTAGTGAAGATGAGCCAACAATGGATGGCTTGGATGAGAGTTTCAATACGTTATCGGATGGAATGGATGGGAAATTGAAGAAAGCAGCCACTTGCTTTGAGTTTGATCCCGAAGAAATGGATAAGGATGATTATGTTTTTAGACCAGATGTCAGCTTTCACTCTGGAAAGACGTACGAACTTAAGGGTTGTTTTTAGGCAATTTTTGTTTGTTCTTAGTAATATTTCCCTTTCATTCAAATTCTGTGTAACATAATGCAGGATATTGATCGTAGAAGGCCAGGAGTACGGAACCTGCCAGAAACATCACATTTGATGTAACTACGGAGGAAGTACCGAAAAAGCTGATATCAGGGTGAGCCTATCAGAATTTAGCATCACTATTTGTTTTCAGAATCAAAACAGAAGTGCGTTCTTGTTTTATAAATGATGTAATTACACCTAATAATGCAATTCTAGTGCTGATTCTGTTTGTTTGGTTTGCTTCACCTATGGTAGATTATGGAGTTTCCTTTATTATAACCTTTTAGTTCATTTTGTAGGCTGGTATTAGTGCGAAGGCCCAGAGGAAGGTTGCCAGGGAGATCAAGACTGCCAGAGTGTTTGGTCTGATGCCGTTTACAACAATGGGGACAAAGTCATTTGTTTTTGGAAAATCTATGGAAGATCTTGATGAGGACTATGAATATGAGACTTTTGATAGTGGCATGGCAGCTGATGCAGACGAAAAAGACCTCCTTGAAGGCTAAGCTTGGGCTGAGATTTGAGTCTAGAACAGTTTAATTTCCTAGTATCCTACTATTGGGTGCAAGTCCCATCTCAGCTCACTGCAGCTGAAATAGACATCATAATAAGATGCTTGTTCGAACTAAACATTTAGTATCAGATTAGTTGCCATGATTGCATCAAGGTTGTAAGAAATTACATAATTCTATTAAGTGAACAGTCATGTATATAGACATACATGTATATATATAGAAATATTGACAATTCCAAAGTTTGGAATTGAGCTTTTATTTCAGCCAGCGCCAGAATTTAAATCTCTGAGTTGCCAAAAATGTTTAAAGCATGGGAGTTTTGATCCAAGCTGTAAATTGGGTGGTGTGAGTGAATGGTAAGGAGCTGTGGCCTATCTACTCTGGTGGGTATTGTATTGATTTGGTTAACTCATTAACATAAACCAACGACTACCATATGCTTTTGAAACTCAACGATGTGATGGAAGCCCCAGTTGCCTTCCATGAATTTAAAAAAAAAAAGAAAAACAATGTGGGGGGTGTTAGGACTGCATATTTTTATTCGATTTCAACTGTGTGACAGCAGCCTTAAAGATTCTAAGTTCTGCTTTCCGATGATGCTTGACTAATCACCGAACACGTGGAATAAATCTCTTTTGTTTTAATACCTAATTCATCTACCATGTCAAAAACCAGCTGTAGAGACACTAAATTCCAAACCCAGCTGCAGGCATCCTAAACTAGATGACCAAATACAAGGAATAGCCCTTCTGACTTGCATTTTACAGATTTGCCTTATTACCTTTTCAAGGAGTGGCTACCTACCTTAACCGGCAGGTATGATGCTTTTTGGCTTCAGCATCCAACTCATTTATCATCTTTAGGACAATCAGGGTACCCCTAAAACCTTGCATTTTGTACATGATTAGCAAATAATAGAGCTGTTTTCCCGATGAATTCAAAATTTAATTCAATTTATTTATGTTGTCGCTTTGAAGGTGAGTTTGAATTGAAATGGGCATCCAATAGAAGTTCAGTTGTTATGAAAAATTCTGTCAATCACAATTTATAAATCCAAACAATGTAACCGTACATTACTATTTACGTCAATTTTTCATTGGAGATAGAACTTCTAGTGGCTCAACGCAATTCCTCCATTTTTTTGTTTTCACTTCTCTCCTTTATGCTAACAACTTTAATTTTTACATTTTTTTTATCTTGATTTTATTTAAAAATTATAAAGTAATTCTATTAACTTAATGTAAAATAAATTTTATTATATAATAAATTAGTAAATAAATTTTAATTATTTATTAACAAATTTATTATTTAATTAAAAATAATTTAATATTTATAAATTATTTATTAATTTTATAACTATTAAATAATTTAAAAATTTTAATATATACAATTTTTAGTTAATGTCTTTAATGGTTATTTTTGTATCCAAATACATATCATACATTTGATTTTAATCTCAGAATTTCAATAATCAATTTCACATTTATTGTTATTTTTAATCTTAATGAAATTAATTTCATCACTTGTCTGAATAAACCCTTCAAAGATGATAATTAACATATCTAAAATTTGAATCTGAACAGTTTAACCAAGTATATTAATGCTTTTCTTATAACATTTTGATCTTTCTGATGCGTTTAGATCAGTTTCTTTGATGGGGCTCACTGATCAAAACATTATATTATATGTTAAATTGCCAATTTTCATCGTAATGAGTCACATCCTTCTAATGCGGACATAAAGTACATTAAAACCAACCTAAAATGCAGCCCCGTGACTTAACAGATTAAACAACAATCAACCCAGAACATCAACCAAACTGCTCAGCAGTTCCTAAAGTACTTACAAAAACTGACCTACAAGTACATGGAAGATTTCTTTTGCTTTGCTTATTCAACATTTACTTCGAAATTCTTGTATTAATTGCTTGTTATAAATATGAAAAATCCAATATGATCCAAGTTAATATCTTGTTTTTCTTCTCTAGAGTGCCAAAACATTCTCTTTCTCAACAGCAATGAAGAATCCTATGTAGGAAAAATCATATCTGATTACATTTCTCCTTATATTTTCGTTATCTCTATTAATCCTAGAGGAAAAAAAAGCAATATTTTTTGTTGTGGGAACTATCATTTAAGTACTTTTAAAAGGTTTCCCAACAGTAAATTCTGCAACTAAGCCTTTTTTTTTTTTTTTTATAAAGTTATGTTTGATAAAATAAATTTCTGAAAGTTTGAATCACCAGGTACCCCTCCCCTCCCAACAACATCACTAATTTCACGGGACCACACGCACCACACTTGTATGAATTGTATTGTAATGTATTGTTTTATCACTCAACTCTCTTTTATCGTTCCTGTCGTGCTCTCAGCTTCTATCTTTTTACTCTTCTTCAATGAGGAACAACAAGAAACTAACATCTCTCAAATGACCCTGTCACCCTTCTCCTTCCTCGTCGCCGCCACTATCATCATTTCATTATCGACAGAATGTGCAGTTGTTACCGCTCTCAGCTCAGGCTCCACGGTTGCTGTCACCTTCGGCACGGGCACTGTTTGTGGCATCATTGCTGGTGAGGCAACACAGAGAATCCAGTGCTACCAAAATGGACTCAATATTTCGGTTTTGCCTAATGTATCATTTGAAGCAATCTCTGGTGGCAGGAGCTTTTTTTGTGGGCTCAGGTCAGGTGGATTCATCATTCACTGTTGGGAGACTCAAACTTCAGTGAATTCGTATTTTTGGCCAAAGCGTATATATTCCAACTACAATATCTCTTTGACTGACCTGGCGGTTGGTGATGATCAGGTTTGTGCTAGAGAGGTGGATTCTGGTATAGCTAGATGCTGGAGAGGAGGGAGTGGTTCTCCATTTCCGTCACCTGGAGTTGGTTTAAAGTTTCGTGCAATCACCTCAGGGAATGGCTTTACTTGTGGGATTTTGAAGAATGGTAGCACAGTTTTCTGTTGGGGTGGTAATAGGATGGGAGTTGAAATCCAAAGACAATTTGGTAACTTGTCAATGTCCTATTTGGTTGCTGGAGATTCTCATGCTTGTGGATTGACTAGGACAGGATTCTTGGTTTGTAAAGGGAATAATGAGTCCGGGCAACTTGATGGTCCTTCCAGTTCAGCTTTTGAGTTTTCAGGTATGTCATTGGGAGGAAATTTTAGTTGCGGTATCAGGCGAATAAATGGATTGGTTCTATGCTGGGGAGGAGCAAACGGATCTGAATTTGATTATAATGCAGTGGAAGATGTTTCATTTGAGTCAATTGTTGCTGGTTTGAATTTTATTTGCGGCTTGACAACAAGGAATTTAACAATGATTTGTTGGGGACCTGGATGGTCTAATGGGGTTAGTGATCTTCCTTTGGGAATGGTAATTCCAGGTCCATGTGTTAAGGCTTCATGTAATTGTGGTACGTATCTGAATTCTGAGACCTTGTGTGATGGCTCAGGGAACATTTGTGAATCATGCCAGACTGAACTTCCACTTCCAGTGCCATTGACACCAATACTAGCACCACTTCCTTCACAAGGAACGAAGCAATTTTCTCCACCAAGGAAGGGCATTAACAGGCTTTCTTTGGCATTTTTAATCGTTGGATCAGTTGGAGCTTTTGCAGGGATTTGCACTATTACCTACTGCTTATGGGAAGGAGTATGTGGCTTCTTGCTTTGCAGGCCTCATAATTCTGTGCAACCCGCGGTTACAGATGCTAATATAATTACGAATGATCTGGATAATAATGATTCCATTACCCCACCTTTAAGATCATTTTCCACCAGGCGCAACAGCTCAGGAAGACTAGGACGCCATAGAAGTGGGTCATCATCATCGAAACATGTAGAGAAAACCCAAAATTTTTCATTATTAGAGCTTTCTAATGCTACTAACAATTTCTCAGTGGAAAACAGGATTGGTGCTGGGAGCTTTGGGGTGGTTTACAAAGGCAAACTTCCAGATGGTCGTGAAGTTGCCATTAAAAAAGGAGAAACTTCTATAAAGGTGAAGAAATTCCAAGAGAAAGAAACTGCATTTGATTCAGAAATAGCGTTGTTATCACGGCTTCACCACAAGCATTTAGTGGGGTTAGTTGGATTCTGCCAAGAAAATGATGAGAGGCTTTTGGTTTACGAGTACATGAGCAATGGGTCACTCTATGATCATCTGCATAACAATGACAATATCGAAAAAGGTAGTAGCATTCTAAATTCCTGGAAAATGAGGATCAAAATTGCATTAGATGCTGCAAGGGGGATTGATTACCTCCACAACTATGCAGTGCCACCTATAATTCATAGAGACATCAAGTCCTCAAATATACTAGTAGATGCAAACTGGACAGCTAGAGTTTCCGATTTTGGATTATCACTAATGGGACCGGAATCTGATCAAGAATTTATGTCAACCAGGGCAGTTGGGACAGTTGGATACATTGATCCTGAATACTATGTGTCGAATGTACTGACAGCTAAAAGTGATGTATATGGTGTGGGGGTGGTATTGTTAGAGCTTTTGACGGGAAGAAAAGCTGTTTTCAAAAATGAAGATGGCACAGGGCCAACGGGGGTGGTTGAATATGCTAGCCCGAGGATATTGGCAGGGGATCTCCGGACAGTGGTGGATAGAAGAATTGGCATGCCAGAGATTCATGAGGCTGAGGCTGTGGAGCTGATGGCTCATATAGCTATGCGTTGTGTGAATTTGGAGGGAAAAGAGAGGCCTAATATGACAGACATTGTAGCCAATTTGGAGAAAGCGCTGACACTTTGCGAGGATAGCCCTGCTAGCCTCTCTTCTAGAACAATTTCCCTTCCTTCGGATTGAGATTTAATTGGAGTTCATTCAATTCTTTTTTTTTAACTGTATTTTAATCGATTTTTCTCCAGCTCAGTAGCCAGTATTAACCAATTTTCTTGATTCTTCTTATCACTTTTTGAATTTAAATGAAAGATTAAAAATAGAAAAAATGTGGTGTTCTATTGAAGCTAAAAATTGTTCAAAAGATTGAAAAAGAGAAAAGAATGTGTTTTGGAGATCAATGGTCACAGACAAAATGGTCCCTGTAATCTAGTTTTAGTTGACTCTATCTCTACATCTTAAACTTGAAGTGGTTTCTAATCAGTTTTTTTGCTTTTCACCCGTCAGTTTACGGTAATAAGTATTGTAGTCAGCATCAAAGGTCTGATTTAGGAGACAAAACGGCAATTGATCCTGAATTGGTTTCTTTTCAATGCCTTTTCCCTCATCATGCCGTTTTGCTTGAACACCTTTTTGGTGTAGGCCAGATTCGACATCAAATCTTTGATGCTGCCACCGATTAACTATTTGTCATCTTCCTCTTGCCTTGCATTCGACCGTTCAAGGTCATTTCTAATTTGAAATAGGCCTGGTCTTGGAGTTGGAGGCAAGAGGGCAAAAAAGTATCCCATTTAAAGGCATTAGAGATTCCAACCAAAATCATTAAGTTGGATCTAAATCAGGTTTGATGATATTAAGAGCCGCTTGATTTTTCAACAGAACAACCTGTTTTACGCTTTTATACGATGACATCAAACGGTTCAAGACCTATATCCTAGATAGATATCCAAGCAGTAATATACCATGAAGTCTGAACATGAAGTTATCATTCTTCATGGTGTCTAATTTTGTCAGGAAAAGGGGACTGGCTGGGAAGCATTGAAGCTGAAGTTAAAATATAAAAAATTAATTTAATTGATTCATATAACTTATTGACTTTAAAAAATGATATTCAATAAAATTTAAAATTAAATCTTAACATTAGTAATTTATTATTTATCACTAGATTATGAACTCTTTTATATAAAAAAAAAATCAATACCAAAAGGGCAGTGGTTGATTGAAAGGGGCTTGTGACAATTTCCAGGCTGTCTGATTCCAAGTTAGAGCAAATCCAGGCATCGTGGTAACGTGAGATTTTAATATTGCTGCCCGCTCCGTGCTTGGTCAAATTTAAAAGGTCTAGGCGGATTTAATTTCATCACCAGCTCTCCATGTATAGCCAAAGTTCTCCTAATTCAAAATCTGAACAGTTCAAGGCCTGGTAGACTCGAAAGTTGTAAAAGATTTTTCTAATAAAAAGAATCTATCACAGAATTCAGAGATCCAATCAGTGGTTTGTAGAGTGGGATAGGTTGCTTATATTTCTCTAAAACTTACATTACAGCATGTGTGATAAAGATTTCCCTTTTCAACTTTCAAACCACTCCTGGAAATTTTGCTAGCTCTTCCAAGCTAATGATGGAAAAATGTTCCACCTCGAAAACAATGCTCTGAGAGCTGCCTGTAGCCTTAGGTCATGTGACAACAAGGAATAGAAGCCTGGCTGGATATCTCTACACAGAACTAATAATACAAATTGAAATAGGTGCTCACTGTTTACAATCAATTCTTCCAATATACTATTGTCAGGGATCATTTGAATCTCACTGGCGTATCAGTTAGTTGTGATTGAAATCTTTTTTGGATTCAATCTTACTATTTTGATGTTTGAAAGACAAAGCTGAATCACGTTTCCCTCTAATTTTGCACTGGACCTTTATTTTCCAATTTTGTTTATACTGTAGACGAGACTGTTAGATTTAAATCAACGTATGCTCAATTTATGAAAGGCTTGAACATTTTTCCTCTCAGTCTCTTCTTTCAATCATTGCTGATTAGCTGTCCTGTCCGTTGCAAGTTGCAGAACAAAAAGAATTGAGGGAACGTTTTCTGTCCACAGAAATTGTGGCAGCTGATGCTAATTTCACGTGCAACTGAGTATTTATCATTCAATAATCAATACCTACTGTTTAAGGTCAACGCCGCCAATAACGCTCTGAACATGTTACAATGTTAATTGTTCGATTGGATTTGAATGCTTTTTTTATTTGTTTTGGTTTCTATTTAAATGTTAAATATTTTAATTTGATTTTGATCCATTTTTAATCATGAAATATAAATCAAAATATTATAACCAAATTTAATTATATTAAGTATTTTTTAATAAATTTATTTAATTTTAAAAATAAAATAAAATAAAATAAATTAATAAAATTCAATTTAGATTGATTTAATTTAAAAAAAAAATTAATTTGAATTTGAATCAATTGAAATGAAAATATATAGTGGACTGGGGATGTTATTGACCAATATTTAGGCATGTAATGTATGAGTAACAAGTTTCATTACAACATCAAACAAATCTCATTAGTCAAACATCATATGGGTGGCTCAAGGTTGATGCTCAAAGGAAGCCTTACATGCTTGTACTGATTTCCCTTTTTGTCATGTAACGGAACTGTCCCGAATCCTGATCCCAGTTCTCAACTCTGATACAGGCAAACATGCTTGCTTGGCCTCCGAAATCATGTCTCCCTGTAGTGTCACAGTCAAGGACTCTAATCCAAAGCATACCTAATTCTGGAACTCTTAATTGGAATTCAAACTCCTTGTTCCATACAGGTAACCACTGATCTTCCATTTTTTTTCTGTTTCCTTTATATCCTGATCTGCGGGAACGCTTGCAATTCCAATCTGCAGACAGATAAATTAGACACCAAAAACAGCGTAATTTGTCATGTTTATTTCCCGAAGTCTCGTTCCCACAGGGGCACAGAAACTAAAAAGTGAATTAGGAAAGTGAAATATTGAACTGTCTTTGAGAGATACTAGGAATTTCAGTTAAATATGGAATTTTACCTTCCCCTAGGAAAACTTTTACCTGTAAACATGAAAAAAAAAACCTTCAAGATTTTAGCTATAAAAGACTGACATTGTGAAGGAACCAAATGATGCACTTATAAGTGTTAGAGCAACATTGAAAAACTGGAATTATTGTTTATGATAAGTCTGAAATTTTAAGAAAATGTTTTAAGACGTATAACAGTGTCATTTTTTTAAAGTTTTATTTGTTCTCACCGTATTATTTACTTAGTAAGTGTGCAAAAATGCTACAAGCAATAAACCTTGAGGATACAATGAAGTCCAATGACGTATTATATTTCGCATTGACGAAATTAGTCCATCAAGCAATTACTAATGTCTCACAAGATCACTGAATTTTTATAAAGGTTTTTTACAACAAAACTTTTATAAAAGAAATCTGAAGTTTGAAAAAAGAGGAAGAGTTCCAAAAATTGTTTCTGCATGTTTTCAAAAAACCAAAAGAGCCTTTTATAAACAAATAAGTGTAATTTTATACTGTGAAAACTCACACCCAACTTGCAAGGTATAATATGTTTTGACTTGAAAGTCTCATAATTTTATCCCACAAAAGGTACCTTATAGATTTGAATTTAGATTTATATATATATATATATATATAGCAGAACCTCAAATTATCTTAATGTGGGATTAGGGTGTCACAAACTTTTCCCGTTAAAGCTTAATGTCTCGTTAAGCCCAACACAAAGCACACCAAACACTGGGCAAGCTCAACACAAAGCACATACAGATCATTGGATCACATTAGATGTTAAGATTCTAGAGGTGGCTCCCACCATGTAACACTTAGTTCTCAAAAGATTTTAGAGGTAGCTCCTATGATGTAGCATTTAGGTCTTGTCGGATTGGTGACCGCTCTGATATCATTTGTGAAAAATTCGTACCTAACCTACGAAGTATTGTCTATTTTGACTCGAAGGTCTCATGATTTTATCTCACAAAAAGTGCCTTGCAGATTTGGATTTAGATATCTACATATAAATCATAGCAAAATCTTAAATTATCTCGATATAGGATTAGGGTGTTACAAACTCCCTCAATTAAAGCTTGATATCATCGTTAAGCTTAATACAAAGCACACCAAACATTAGGTAAGCCCAATATAAAGCATATGCAGATCACAAGATCACACAAAACATTGAGATTTTAGAAGTGATTGCCACAGTATAGCACTTAGTTCTCGTAGGATTCTAAAGATGGCTTTCATAGTGTAACACTTAGCTCTCGTTCGATTGATGATCGCTTTGATATCATTTATAAAAAAATCTGTACCTAACATGCGATGTATTATCTGCTTTGACCCGAAAGTCTCACGATTTTGTTTAAAAGTTTTATCCCACAAAAGGTACTTTATAGATTTGAGTTTAGATATTTACATATATATCATAACAGAACCTTAAATTCTCTCAATATGGGATTGGGTGTCACAATTACAAACATAACTGTCTATTTTGAATAGACAAAAATTGTCTATTTTTGAATAGTTAAAACTGTTCATTTTGAATAAACTTATCTCAGTGTTTTGAACATACTTAACTATCTATCTTTATTTTTTCTTTTCCAATGTGAGATTATTTTTCATATTTTATTTTAAAAATCTCTAACAATCTCTTGCCATTTTTAAAATAATCTAGATTTATGATAACTTTGAAAATCAATTGCATAAATGAATATATCTTTCGATTTGAACCTTTATTTAGTGAAAAACAAGTTAAAATTAACCAAAATCACATGGTAGATTATACTTTGAATCAACTATTCTATTTGGTTAATCGAACTTGTCTCACACAATGATTTCAACACCCAGTGAATGTTTGGTATTCGGTGACACATTTATGACCATTATAGACACCCACTTTTGGATTTGTTTTTCCAGTGGGTTTTAGATAAGGTTAATATAATTTAAAAAATAAAAGTGAAATTTTAGTCTTGTTAAAACTCAGGATTATGGTTTAAATTTTGAAAACAGGATCAAAAAAAGATTTATTTTTTTTAACGTGGATAAACAAATTGGAAGATAGGGATTTTGATTTTCAAAAGCCTCATTCCCCAGCCCTATATATACTCTTTAACAATCAGAGAAAGAACACGGAGAAATGGAG